TTATTTAATGCAGTTGTGAACCTACTTAGTAAATTTACAACACAACAGAAAACAAATGCAGGATACCCTGTTACAGAGATAGTACTTTTTTAGTAGAGAAGGGACTTAACTTTGAGGACAACATACTAAGTGAAGTGATAAATTCATCATCCCTTGGATTTGAGATTGGGTGTCTTTCCAAATGATACAATCTAGTTCAGCCATCAGTTGTTGGCCTGAATAATTCTCTTTACTGCTTGAACTAGTGGTAAAAAATCTGCAGCATCTGTTAGGAGGAGAACAGACTCATGATATTAGAGGTTCATTCTTACTTTAAAATATGTATGCCAGGCAGATTCCTTTAAATATGTCCTGGCAAAAAACATGTTACCAGTTACTTTTTTAGCATATGAGTTGAATGCACTGGAGACATCACCCTAATAGAGTTGTTTGCCAGCTACCTCGAAACCAGAACACTGGCTGAATGTGGCTCATATTTGAGAATGTGTGAGTAGTTATTGAGGGTTAGGTAGGAAGACAGCTAAGGGTCATCTCCAGGATGCTATGATCTGATGAACAGGCACAAAAGAAATTGCTGTGTTATGATCATACTGAACAACAGACAGTCTGTGTGGCAGTAGTGTGTGGTTCATCAGCAAAGGCAGCTGCAGAGCTGTGAAGCAGGTATCTGACAGCTTTATTGCCCTGATGTGTTTCCGTCAGCATTCAATAAACACCAATTATTGGGAAACCTTATTGATGGCTTCTGTGTGGCATGATTAATGCATTGCCTGCAACTTAAAATGTTCAAAGTCTATGCAGTGTCCTGTGAACTTCAGTGCTTCAAGGATCTTTAAGCTTCTTAACACTGGAACTTACAAACAGATCAGAGATCAGGGACGTATATGACTGTCAGCGCTGTAGTCCATTTCTGTATCCTTAATCATGAGTCTTATGCTTTATTCTAGGAAGAAAATATCATTCACAATTTCAGATTCTTTGTTTATACTCTTCTGTCAAATTCAGTGTTGGTAGAGAAAAACCTGGTCCATAGTCTGATTCAGGGAATAACAACTTGCCTCCCAGCCTTTAGCTGCTCTGAAGAAGAAATACCCCATGCAGCAATTTCATTAAATATAATATACTTTGTTTGATACCCAAGTAAGCTGGACTGAGGTGAGAGAAAGACAGCTTTTTTTGTTTTGAATATAAGAATATGAAAGTTGCTAAATCCAGTTGACAAATAAACTTATACTCCGTACTGTATTCCATTACAACTTGTTTAGGGGAAATCTCTTAAGGAAAAGAAAAATAATCAGAACTACTAACTAGCTCAAACTATTTCCCTCATGCCACTTTCATCATGCTATTTAAATCACCTTTTCTTTAACCAGACTGAGAAACAAAAAAAGAGAGGGGAGTATCATATCATGTCTAGTGTAGATAAGGAAAGAAGTTCAGTTTTCAGATGTCAACTTTCCCTTCTCCAGAAGATAGTAGTGTTGTGTTGTGAGAGGGCTCTTCTGTAGTCTTGCCATTCAGAGAGTTTATTTGAATCCCTGTTCAGTCTCAGAAGGTATTCGTAACTTCAGAACAGCCTTTTCTTTTCCTTTGCATTTTTGTTTCCTTATATGAGTGAAGTAGGTGGTAGGTTTCTACTTCACAGAATATTTATTAGGATTTTCAAAAGCAAAACAAAGGAAAACCAGACTGTTAATGATTGTTACGCAATCTGCGCATTACACAGAAAAATAAAAGTACAAGAGAAGAGGAAGCAAGAACAGAATTATTCCCTGATGAACCAGAGTCAAGTCTAAGAGATCAATATGAGATTTGTACTTCATATCAGTTTTGTCTCTGTGAAACCAGATATGTCAGATCACTACTTGACCCTCAGATGAAAACATACATTGAAATGGTAATAGGTTCCTTTTCTATCTGTGGTTGAAAAAGAAGTGTAGCAAAGAACATTATCTAATTCATTCTAATAATGAAAATTGTCATCAGACAACAGCACGCCAAAGAAAAGAAAATGTCATCTCTGAAGGGATTGCATGCACAAGTCTGTCACTAGAAGTCCCAAGAGAGAAAAGGCTTTTATAATGATGGCAAAATACCATGCTGGGTTTGAAAAATATCCATATAGGCACTATAATTGCTAAGTGGGGAAAAATAATCCCAGCTGTATCATAACTGATACTTGAAAAAAATCTAGCCTCTGAATACTTCTTTTTTTCTGGTCCAACTGAATAAACTCAGTTAAAAAATGAATGATACTAGAATAAAATATCTGTAAAAAATTCTTACTTCAAAGGATAGATTGGTTTTTTGTTGGGGAGAGGATGATACATAAGTTGAGGAATTCTGCCTTTTCTAAAGGTACACTGGTGCTGCTTGTGCTCCCTGAGTCAGTAAAGGCCAAGGTTGGTGCTGAGATAATGGCAGAGGAGGAAAAAACCATCCTGGTTATTAAAGTGTCTCATCAAAGACAATGAGAGCTTTGGGCATGGGTTCCCGGAGAGCTGCTATTTCCCTTTGAGAGCTGTTGCCTTTTCTCACACGCTGTCTCCAGCTCACTGGGCACTGGTTTCTAATTTGAGAGCCCAGCCCTGACAGTAGTATTGCTATATCCATTTCCTGCCTTTGAAACAAACTTACAAAGTCTAGCATTTCTCCACTTTTTGCCTGAATCACATCTCATTCAGGGCACAGATTAAGAGAAGGCAGGGCTCCCTGGGTGCTGTGCGCTGTCACAGCTTCTGTTCTGCTGAGGGAGTTGTTGAATGCACCAGGTAAACAGCCCCTCTGAAGAGCTGTGCTGGAAGAGCCAGAGGGAAGCTGTGGCACTGGGATTGTTCAGCCACCTGACACTGCAGTGGGACTGCAGGTACGAGCACAGAGAAAACTTTTGCATGCTGAAATTAATCTCAGTTAATTGTTGCTATCACCAACAAATTCACAACCCGCTGAAAGTTGTACACAGGGAAACTAGAGAGGAATAAGGATAACAGATGCAGAAGTGGGAAAACGAGATTTAGTATCATGACTTCAGGCATCTGAACATCAATGTTGCTGTAAAGCTTAGATCCTATGTATCCCTAGTCTGGAAACACACAGGTATTTGCTGAGTTGTTTGGATTGCTCCCTATTCTTAGCGAAAGGATGGTGTGCGCTTCATTAAAACTAAAATTACTGTATGTCAAAGACATTACTTGGCATGGAAGAAACTACTGTGCTAGTAAAGGGAGAATACTGACATCAGAGAGATGATAGATAATAACAATAGCTTATTGTTACTATGTTTTTATTTTTGCTTCAATTATAAAAACGGGTCTGGAAATGGATTTTGAATGTGAAGGGGGGGGAATACCTCCTCTAATGGTAAAGTTCTTTAATAGGTAAATTCAAATTACTTTTAAAAATTAATGTTAAATATTCCAAAAGATTTTCTTTAATTTTCAAAAATGAAAGTTTTCCTTAGTTATAGTTAAGGTTTTCTTCAGTTTAAATAAAAATGTATCTAGAATCTTCTATTTAAGGAAAAACAGCAGACTCACCACTGAAGTTTTAAAGTGGACGCATTTCTAGCTACAAAACTAAACTGGTTTCCCTCTTCTTTCTCTTATTATCTTCTATCCCCTCCACCTTCTTCCCTCTCTCTTTGACTGTTCAAGAGAAAGGAAGATGAAAGAGGTGAATTTTTAGCTTTCGTATTTAAAGTAAATTTTGACATATGCCAGTCTACTGTTTACCAAAAAGCTGTTGTAACTAGTTCCTTGATGTCCTTCCAAGTTTTTACCATAGAAAAGCTGAGGGATATTGGGGTTTGTGTTTGGAATGAATAGCCAAATAAGTAGATCTCAAGGTTTTTTGCATCCCAGTCTCATTATTCTTAAAATATATTCAAATCATCTTTCTGAAGAGCCTGAAGTTTTAAAATCATAATTTTTTCCTTCTCAGTTATTCTCAGAGGTATCCATCTTTCTCTTCCCTGCCACCATGTGTTCCAAAAAAAAATTTGTCAAGGTTTGCACATGAAGATGCAGATTGTTGGCCTTTTTTGCAAGATCGCTAAAGTGGTGTCATGAAAAGGGAGATGACAGTTCAAAAAAGGTGTCCAACATCTGCCTTGCCAGAAAGGGTACTGACCTCATCTACCAAGCAAAGGAGAGAAGGGAAATAGGATGAATCTGCAAGAAAGTTTAGGGTTGACTGCTTCTCAGTTCTTTCATGTGATAAATTTGAAGCTAAATAAAGCAAAAGAAATAAAAGAACCCAAGTGATCCTTCTCTCTACTGGCCTTCTGAGGATTACCTGATGGCAGCATTTATAGGCAGCATCTGTTTGCAAGTGCTCTCTAACAGTAACATTTGTATATCATTCAACAAAGACATGTCAAACTATTTCTAATACCTGTAACATGCCTTTTTGCTGACCTTTCTCAACCTGGTTTGGTATTTATCATGAAAATATTTTCTGAAATGATTGATGTGTTTGAATATTGTTTGTGTAACCAGAGTAGGAGAAGGTGTCACATTGTTTGCAGGAGAAGGACAACAGCAGAGGGAGAATCATAGGTTTCTGTGTTATAAGCAACTTGTGCTATTTAAACTCATCCAGTCCTGCAAGAGAAGTTTAGACATGTTGGAACATTTTTGGTGCCAGATTGAAAAAGCTGTCTAAGGATGGCACTGATAAATAGAATGAGAATGTCCTCCTAATGTAACATCGAGGAAGGCAAATGGATGATGAATTTTCATTCATGGCTGGTTGTTGGGTGTACACATGAAGTGATTCCTCGGGTAATACCAGTTGTGTCCCATATCACACATCTCAGTATTGTCTATGCTAATAAAAGGCACCACAGACACCTTTCGGCTGCCTCAGGTGTGTCCCTTAGAGTCTGGAAGAAGTAAAAGTCCCAAGTCACTGTCTCAGAAGTGATACAGGGTTCTTCAGGTTAATTTCTCTGATGTCTTTGTGTTTTACTGTGATTCATGACTGCTTGTTTTTGTCCCCAGTTATTCAGTTCAGTGGAGTTTGGCAGAAGATGGCTGCTTCTTCATGAGGGAGTTGCACCAAACAGATTCTACTGGTAAGAGCAAAACCCTCTTCCTCATTTCCTAGATGCAACTTCCCCATACATACAGAGATGTTGAAATGAGGTCTTGAAGGCAATATGGCTGAATGCAACCTACACTGCTGATTTGTTGAGATTAATTTAGAACTGGTATGAAAGGGGCATTGTGTGTTTATACGACACTCAAAAATTGGATCTTTGATCTAAGGGTGATGCACAACTGAACCATGCTGAATAATAGTCTGAAGAAAGCATTGATTAGGGATAGGAGAGTGAAGAGTTCAGTCTGATCCTGCTGCAATTAAGGGCCAAAGCCTGAAGTCTTGGAATCTTTGAGGATACCAGCATTTCTGCCACAGGTAGCAGTAGATTCCTCTAGTGTCTGGTGATACGTTTTTAACTACTGTTAGACCTATGTAGTCCTTGAAAGTTAATGACTATTGAACTAAAGGCACACACACTTCTTCATTATGAGCTTAAATCACTCTGCAGTAAAGCTTCTAAGCAGCAGTGCAGTGTTTCCATTCAGGTTTCCAGCTGTATGAATCAGCCATGTGTGAGTTCCTCCTGCTGAATCTTTGAATGTCAGTTGTTTTATGGCAATGGCAAAACATTAGCAAGTCTGATGCCAGAGTTACCTTGCAGAAGTATCAGGGCTTTTTGTCACTAATGCAAGTTGAACTCTTTGCTGCATTAGTGTATACCATAGGATTTGTATCTAAATTCACTTAGGGGCATTACCTACATGGCTGTGATAGAATTCGAGGCATCCATAATGCATGAGTTGACTTAAATTATATAGTCCAAATCAAAGATAAGGTTTTTCTTGCATTTTACCTTATTTCTCTTTTTGCTTACACTGGTGTAAATCTGTGAGATTTCTCATCAACTCTTCATGGAAGCAGCAGTATGCCTGTGAGCAGAAGTGGGCTTACATCTTGTGAATATGCCTTTCAAAGAGAAGCTTTGAAATCAGGAGGAGCTGAACCCAATGGTTAAAATAAGACCCCCATGGTAGTTTCTAAACTATAAATTTCTGCCAAACCCACAGGTTTTGAACATATCAAGATTCAGGAATGGTTCGGTCAAATATTTTCTTTTAATTTATAAAAAATGTAAGAGCTCTAGGTCAAATTTACTTCTAAAGTTAAATTTATATTTAGTCTGCAAAGGATATACCATAGATTTTGTTTGCTGCTCCTGCTATTTAATCCTTTCTCAGAACCTGTGTTAGCTGAAGCTTTTGCAAGCTAAATTTCATTTTTGGCTTAAACTTGTTTTCATGTAAGTGTCTGTAGACAGACATGTGTGTATTTCTTTCCTGTAGAATTCTTAAAAGGGTCTCAAAATTTCAGATGCAAACACACAGCTCTACACATCTGTTTTTTTCTGGGCTAATAAAAGCCCAGTCACAGAAATCTGGGTACCCAGTCTTTGAGATGTCCGGCAAAATTGTAATCACTGAAGAGGGTCAGAGAGATGGAAAGACTGTCCCTGTATCCCCATATTCTGTACAGTGCTCCCAACCTTTTGAAGTTTCCTGTCATTGCTTACAGATCTGGTTTATTGTAAATTGAGATGATGGGTGCCTGCAATAAAAATAATGACGAAAATTATCATTTTCCCTTTCTATGGAGCTCAAACTTTGAAGGCCTCTTAGAACCTAACAAATAAGACAACTCAGGCTTGGAACTTCAAAGGCAAAGAGTAAGTTAAAAGATGAAAAGATGTTGCAACCACCCATCTAACTTCCCTACAGCCAAAAACAAAGCATGAAACTGCAAGCCTGTGTTTTCACCTTGAGTAGAATGTCCTTTGTATAACACATCTCAGTGTAACCTAGACTGTACTTCTGCTATCAAAAGTAAAAATAATCAAACTTGGGGAGACAGTGTTGCATCTTATTATGACCATCATCACTCTGGAAAAAAAAATACTGTTAACTGCAATTCTATGGACACTGTCTGTTCTCAAACCCATCTATAGTAGAAAAGAGCTGTGCACGTGTAATTGAGAACCTGTACCCCACAGAGAGCAACACTGGGCTTTTCTATGCACTTCCATTCCTGTGCAGACAAGTAACCTGAGGATAAGAAACACTGAAGTGCTGAAGCAGAAGGGCAGCCCTTTGCACTCAATGTGTGACCACTGCTGACTCCCCATGCAAGGAAAGCAGAAGGGAACTGGAATATAAGAGGGTGCAGGAGTACAGTTGAAATCCAAATTTCTGCAGCAACATCTCTGTATCTAGTGCTGGTGCACAAGGTGGATAAAGCCTTGCTCAGTGCCCTATGGTTTGTTGTTGGTAGGGGTTTCTTTAATTATTTTGGCAAGGAGAAATGCAGTCTTATGAATCTGTTAAGCCAGAAGAATGACTTCAACTTCACTTATTCTTCAGAGCAGAAATAAATAGTGAAGTAAAACGTCCCTAAGTCACAACTTTTCAAGAAAAGCAGAATGTGGGGTTACTCTCTCCTGTTGCTGGTGCTTTCTCTAATTTAAATGTGTTGGAAGGAATCAACCAGGACACAGCAGTAACGGGCAGAGAATGAGGGATATTTTCTGTTATCTAAGGAAGGCTGAGGAGTTGCTTTAATACAGATCGCTTCCAATACTGTCTAAACTAAGACTTCTCTAAAAGTGGAAAACACAAAGCAAGGCCTGCATTTAGTTACACTGCTTCTTTTGATAGGAAGGGTCATCTGGAAGACTTTAAAGACTTTTACATGGATCTGAAGGGTTGGTGAAACCAAAGATGCGTTTTCCTTATTGCTCACTGATATTTTCATTGCTATTTTAGTTTCTCATATTGCCTTGTAAATAGTTTGTGGGTCACTCTAAGTCTTGTGAATAAACACCACTGGGCTTCCTAGTTTTAGTGTTGAGAAGGCTCTACCTGCAAATGCTGTTAGAGAATTTTTAGTGTCTTTTACAGCTGCATTTCTTATATATATTTCCAGGAGAATTTTCTTCTTTATTTGCTTATTTTTCGGCTGCTCCATGAAACACTGCCTTCTACTGCTACCCCAGAGAAATTTAACCCCGTGAAGGAAAACACTGAAGCAATCTGATAATGCCTACTACATAACTCTGAGAAAACACTCTGTGTGGACACAATTCAGCTCCTTGTAACTAATATGTATTTTGTATTCTTGCATCCTCTCATTAAGAGGAGTCATTAACATGGAAATAGAATATTTGTTTATTCAGAGCTCCTCTGTTCTCCCTTTTCACTCTTCCACCTGCAGCTCCAAGTGGTGCCTGACATCCACACTTGTGATGAAAGAAATGTAATGTCACTTTGTGGAGGTAGATATAAGGTGAGAGATGAACAGATGAACTCAAACCATTAAAATTAAAGGGTACTGGAGTTTTCTTGTCTTAAAAATACCACCAAACAACAAAATAAAACACGTGTAGAAAAAGGGGATCTGTAATTTTCTAATTCATTAAAAGGTTGTGAAGACACATTTGTGCTGGGCAGGCTTTAATGATGGACTACTATAAAACAGACATCTCTAATAATTGCTATAATTTGGGTACCATCACATATCTGTTTGCATAATCTAAGCATGTGAAAGTGGTATACTGAGGAAAATGTAATCCACTCAGAGAGTCAACCACGTTATGTGTCAGATGGAGACATGAAAGAATCCACACTGCATACAACCCCGAGGCATGGCAGTTCTGCACTGTATCAACAGTTTTCATGTTTTTTATAATTTCTATGGCAGCTTCTTGAGATTTTGCTGTTAAATGTACTGTGACAGAAAAATACATGAAAGTTATCAAGGTACTTGGTAATTCTGGAACTGTGCTCTATGAAAATACGCTAATTACTAGGAAGAAATATTCTAAGTGATAAATACTTCATCAGGGTAATACAGGAACAGCAAGTTAATGTAACATGGATTATTGCTGATAGCACAGTGTTTACTGATGTAGTTGACATTAGGGGAAGAGAATGCAGTAGATCCTAGTTTAAAAAAGTTGGATAAATGCTTTATCTAAATACTTCTGAGTTTATTTTTGTGACACTTGGTCATTTTTGATGTACATTCCTATGATGGAATTTTGCTGGTGAAGATGCTGATTTGTAGTGAATACAAATGTGAACACAATTGGCCAATCAGTTATGTTGGGAATTACATTGCATTTTTCTTCTTTTTTTAAAGTGGCCCAGTCATCTAGTCAAAGTTCACTAATGATACTTGTGACTTGCAAATCCAAATATCCAAATATTATTTGCAAAAAACCTGGTCAAAGTGCATATAGTTCAATATGGCCAAAATATATATGCAGACATTCATTGCTCATTAAAAGACAGGTTTTTATTCTAGTCCTCAGATCAAGTCATGCCTTCCACCAGAAATTATTTTCTGAAAGTCAGTAAGTCAAAGTATCACAATTGGAGCTGTCTGTAAAAAAAATAAGAACATAAGGTTGAAAATCTCATTAAAATATCTGGAAAACATAATTTTTTAAAATCAAAATGAAACATTTTACTTTTTAATTCTAATCAAAACCCAATCTTGAAAAACTTGAGGGGGAGAGGGAAGAAATAAAACCGAATAATAAAAGTGTCTTTAAAACTAACATAAAATGAACAGTACAGAAGCCCAGCTAGTAAATTATATCATCAAGTTATAATCATTATCTATACAATGGTATTGATTTTATTTTTTTACTTATTTGGGTATTGCACACAGCCCAGCAAGTGGGAGAAATACAAAAGAAATACAACTCCATACTTCAAGATCAGAGAGCTGTAGCACCTTTCCTTTGAAAACACTCTGAGAGAGTTGGGGTTGTTCAGCCCAGAGAGGAGAAGGCTCTGGGGAGACCTTAGGGTCCCTTCTAGTACCTAAAGGGGCTACAAGAGAACTGGAGGGGGATTTTTGACAAGGACATGGAGTGATAAGGAAAGGGGTAATGGCTTCAAACTGGAAAAGGGTGGGTTTAGAATAGATATTGAGAAGAAATTTTTTACTGTGAGGGTGGTGAGGCCCTGGCAC